TTTCCCTTCTGTATGTAAATATGTACCTTTTTCACTTTTGATATGGTTAAGTGGCCATTAACCTCACAACCATGCTGAAACTCATCTTATCTATAACTGCATTTGATATTATTCTTCACCTTGCACTTTATATATTTGCATAGTGGTGTCATCACTGGATATAGCCTGATGGACTGTTACTTTAAATTTATGCAAGCTTTTGAACTAAATGCATTGCCTGTATTTTATTGGATTTTGATCATAACAATGACAATATAAACAGAGACATTTCAAGCATTTTAAAAACATAAAAATCAGTGACTGACATGAGATTATTTTACCTGAGGAAAAAGAGCTTTCAGAAAATTAATACATAGCATCTGACAATTGCTGTATTGCATATCAGACTGACATCTCAGGAGGACATCATAAAACCTCAAGAATGATATCAGTTAAGATGCTTCAGACAGCAAAAGTAGTACCAGGTTGTTTTATAAAACAAATGCTACCCTAAAAGATACCATCTAGCCAAAAAAATTCAAAGAAATTTGCAATCTGTGACATTTCATGGATGTCTAGCAATGTGAACATGGTGAAAAACTGTTTGCAACAAAACCAAGACTGTGGGAAAACTGGGGAATGAGCAATTTTTTCTATATATACTTTCAAGTACAAACTGGAAGGGCTCACCAGCTGTGAGATTCTAATCTCATGTTACTCTAAGGGTAAGTATTCAAGTAGATTAATTTTCAGAACTTATTTTTCAACCTCCCTATACCTTTTGCCCATTATTGCAAGAGTTATTCATGGCTTAAATACAAACGTAAAAGGCAAGTCATAAATACAATGGATAAAAAAGTTAGACTAATTAGACCAGACTTAAAAAAAACAATTAAAGATAGGCGATAATTGTGGAGATCCAGGGGCTAAATACAGGATGAGTGACATTGTTTTGGTAAATGCTACCACACCCACATGTAATTAGTCACCCAAGGAACAATAACAGTTTGAACTATCAAGTACACAATCTGTATTGTGAGCTACTTTGTTTGAACATTTTTAAATTTATATTTTTGTTATCATTATAAAACAAAAATTGTTTTATATCAAAATGACTCAGTCCTTAAACTGTATCCTCCTGCCAGAACAACCCTTCAGTTCTTTTTACCTGGCATGCCAGAAACAGCTAAGGGAAGAATGCAGACCAATGTAAAGATCTGTAGTTGAGTTTGAACTGGAGGCAGCCTTTTGTTGAAGTGAATGAGAACCCACCTGCAGCAGCTGAGCTAGAGCAACTTGAGCCTTGTGTTAGTAGAGCATCAGCAGAAAACAGAGCTAAGTCAGCAGAGGTATGTGGAGACTCAACAACTTGCTGAACTTGCAACCAAACAATTAAAAAATGAAGGGTATGGATGTGTGTACTGAAAGGTGACACTTCAGAGGATGATAGTAAATTTTCACTGATATAGATTGTGAAAGTAGCAAAGGCAGCAAATGAGGCTTTATTGCACACAGACTCCAGAATAAGTCAGTTCTAAAGTGTAAAAAGTAACTGCTGTTCTCTGTGTACAGATTATGAAACAGACACATTCTCAAAGTATGAATCAGAGATGATATTGTACATATGAAAAGACAGACTTCTTTCAAGTTAATTTTTCCATATCCATATAGACCAGAATATTGAAAGCTGATGAAACAATGTGGTACTTCATTTTGTGTTGTGTGTTTTAGTTAATGTGTTTTAAGTCAAAGAAAAATCAATATGCTAATAGCATGGTATAAAAAGCATTAACAAATGCACAGTTGGGTGCAAGTGCACCACAGTCATACACAACAATTTTCACTGCAGGAGAATCTCTGAATCTCTGACCGGATCCACACAGAGATTACAACCACATGGTAAAAAATATTTAGGGAAGCTGTGATAAAAAGCCTTATATGACCTTTTTTTTTTTTTTTTTTTTTTTTTTTTTTCCCCAGCTCCTGATCAGGACAAAAGATAAAACAATCTGTATTGTTTGTCTTGGTGAAACTGAGGATGTTTAGGACTAGCAGACCTGCATGTGGGACAAACTAAACAGCAAACTTGCTGCTCCTTTGCAGCAACCCAGGCTGGGGAGCAGCTCTGTGGAGGAGACCCTTGGGCCATACATTTTCATAGTGCATTTTTTCTCATGGTCCCATAGTTCATAGGCTACATATTATCTGATTGTGCAATGCTTAAGCTGCTTCTGACATGAAATAGCCATGTTTTTCTCTCTTGCCTTTTTGCTCACAAAAATTATTAAACTAGAATTCTCATGGTAGCTCATTCTCTGCAGTCACCCATGACTCGTGACTGTTCTGAACTTGTATGTTTGCAGCTTTTAGTGACAAGTTTATTGTAGCAGGAACAGCATCCTGCTAGCCTCCTCTGTTCCCATTTCTTGCTAGCTACTTTGGTTTTGTTTGTGTTCTTAACAACGTGAGCTGCTTACCCATTTTCCTTGTTCCTCAGAGGGTTTTCCCTCTTATATAAGCACATTCACTAGTGTTTTCTAAGACTACTCTTCTTTACGTTCCTTGAATTCTGCTGTCAGAAAGAAACAATTTTGCTTCAGTGCCTCAGGATGAACACTCTTATTTATCAAACTTTCCTATATTTAAACAGGTCTCTGAGAGCGAGAGTGACTGCAGCACAGGAGAGGTGGAAGTGAGGAAGCTGCCTTCTGCCTGAAACCAGGCTGGGTAGGCAAAGATGTGGCAGTTCCACTTTGCCTTCAGCTGCGCTGGTTATTCCGCCTCCAGCATGGCAGATGAGGAAGTACAACTCCCTCATCCAACACCTTATGTAAAGACAGATGTTTTCAGCTTACTCAGGCATTAGAATTAGGACAGAATAGCACACCCCAGATAAGAAGGATAGCAAAATCTGGGTATGCTTGAACAGCAAAATGAAGACATTAGTGCAGCATGGGTAGCCATAGCTTTAATCTAACTGGCAGAGGCAGCAACAGCATCAAAGATGCAGAAGCACAAAATTCATTGTGGGCTGGCAACTGGGGGCTTCACTCACATCCATACCTCTGCAGCATCACTTCTATTCTCTCCACGCTAGACAGGTAGAGCGTAACTTAAAATCCTGTCCCACAATGAAATCACTCCTTCTGCTGCAGTGAAGGTCTTCCTTGTTCAATAAGAAAACTCTGGGTTGTTCTGGATTAGCTACCACCCAGGTAACATTGCAACAGGCAAATTCAATAACCTGGCACCGTTTGGACACTTGGACAAGGTTCCCTATTAAATCAGCCCATTTTCCTAAGAACAAATACAGGTGTAGAAATTTTGTAGTTCTACACGTAATTTTTATTTATCTAGCTTTGATCTGAAAAGTAACAATATCCTAAACTCTGTTCAACTTTTAGAATTCAATTTTTTAGTGTTTGTTTGCTTAAATCTCACTAAATATAAAAAGAGACTTGTACATGCTGTGTATCTAATGAGCTGCTACTGATGGGAGGACAAAATAATCACATTTATTTCAATGAATTCTAGAACAACTACAGCTTTCAACCCTGTGAAAGCTTTACCATTTCTGTTATTTAATAATGATGACAATATTTGTAGTCCTACTGTTTACAGCCAGGTTTTCTCGAGGGGAACTGACTTCAGGGATCACAGGGTTTTGTCACCTTTGACGTATCCATTTGCCAACCTTGACAATATAAGCCACTTACAAATGTTGTGAAGATACCCGTACAACCTTTCTGATAAGTGTATCATGTCTCCAGTCAAATATCATTTGCTGTGAAATGGAAAATAGAATGTAAAGGCAGACTGAGCATGAACAATCTGTTTACCTAAATGTACTCTTTGACCTGAAAGGCAAGTGGAAAAACACACTGAAGTGGAGTGCATACTTCCAAAGTGTTAGAAACAAAGCTTACTTGGTGCAATTGCTGAATTAGCTGCAAAGATGTCTTAGATGTCAATGAGGAGTGTTGTCCAGTTGTAGCAGAGATAAATTCCCTTACTACTGAAGAGATGGTATGTTTAGAGTAATTGGCTGTCATACACTGTGTGCTTCAACAAAGATTTGAGGAGTCTTGTTTTAGAAACACAAGAGTAATTAAGTTCCTACAATTTGTTTGGGCCTTGACCTTGCTGAAATCCGTTTCTCAGATGCAGCTTTTTATTTATGGCAATATTAGTCCAGTACGAAGAATACCCAAACTGACAGAATTAATTTAAAATAAGTAATGAAGTGGTGAAAATGTTTTTTTTTGTTACCAGTCTAGGCTGGATTGCAAATCCTAAATTTTCTACTAAAATAAATAATTCTGTGACCTACTGCAAGTCTTCTTAACTTATTATAACTAGTATGCCATCACTTACATCACATTAATTTCTTTTATTGGGGAAGATATCATAAAGTGCACTTTCCACATGTACCTGTATTAACATCTGTCTTGTTTTTGTCATTTTCTTTCCTAGATTTTTCCCTCTAGCTGAGCAACAGACTCATTGAGAAACATGCCTGAGCAAAGCAATGATTACAGGGTGGTTGTGTTTGGAGCTGGAGGAGTTGGCAAAAGTTCTTTAGTCTTGAGATTTGTGAAGGGCACTTTCAGAGAGAGCTACATCCCTACCATTGAAGACACCTATAGGCAGGTGATCAGCTGTGATAAGAGCATATGCACTTTGCAGATAACTGACACTACAGGGAGCCATCAATTTCCAGCCATGCAACGTCTTTCTATTTCTAAAGGACATGCTTTCATTTTGGTTTACTCTATCACCAGCCGACAGTCCTTGGAGGAACTCAAACCGATCTATGAACAAATATGTCAGATTAAAGGAGATGTAGAAAGCATTCCAATAATGCTGGTGGGGAACAAAAACGATGAGAACCAAAATCGAGAGGTGGAAAGTAGTGAAGGAGAAGCCATGGCTAAGAAGTGGAAATGTGCCTTCATGGAGACATCTGCCAAGGTGAACCACAATGTGAAAGAACTATTCCAAGAATTGCTAAACTTAGAAAAACGTAGAACTGTGAGTTTACAAATTGATGGCAAAAAAAGCAAGCAGCAGAAAAGGAAAGAGAAGCTGAAAGGCAAATGTGTGGTGATGTGAAATTGCACTGTTAGGAGTCAGTCATGCAGTCTCACCTGTCTGACAATACCCATGTAAAATCTATAGACAGCGAACAACCGTACAAGGCCCTATTCATTAGTATCTGTTTTGGAATTTGAAAAAATGAGTTACTGTGGTTACTGTGAAAAAAGCCAACAATTAAAAATCATATACTGTAGCTATCATCAAAAAAAAAAAAAAAATCAGGAAGAAAAAGAAAGATGGGCCAAAAAATCCAATTTTTTAATTTACAGAAGAAAAGAAATTTCATCCTTAATGTAATGTGGAAGATTTGAGAAGTCAACTACATATTCTTTACATTTGCAAATAGCTGTGAGATAAGGCAGTGTATAATGATAGAAGATAAACAAAGAAATGGCCACGAAGAAACCATGCATGCTGGTTGGCATTATCATGCCTTTTAAGAATGCTCTAGACAAACAATTCTGCAATTTTCATTCCTGACTGGTGGGGCAGTGTGCACACAGTAGTGTTGGATCTGCCACATCAACAAACTGTTTCACACTAAAAAGAAATGTGGGGATAACACAGCTAAAAGGAACAGATATTCTCTCTACCCTCCTAGCATGAGATTTCTTTCTAGTATGGTGCAGTATTTGAACTGAAGGATGAGGAAAAGCCAGCCCCTGTAGGAGAGATGGAGATAGTTTCCTTTTCTGTACCCATCGCTTCAAGAATGACCTGTGCTTCTGGCCCTAATATATTTCAGAAGATCAGGTGTTTGCCTGTGGAAAATGTCAGATTGTATAAAAATGGTGTACATATACAAACAGAAATCTTCCCCAGGGAGGACTGGCTCAGGAGTTCCCTACAAAAGCCTCTATGGGAAGGGCTCAGTCGAAATGCTGCTGATGGTTACATGAACACACAGTGTGATTAATGAATGAACAGAAAATCTATTGAATCAGTGCTATCTTTGGAGAGGGGTAAGTGTAGTAGACAAAGTATTTACTCAAATTACTGGATTAGCTGAATGAAACTTCTTTACATTACTATATTCCAATCAGAATGGTTTTGCATTCATGCACTACTGGATCTATTACCTTTATATTGCCTGGAGGGTTTTATATTTACCATTTAAACTCATGATTTGAACTGCTGTGACTATTTATAGAACCAAAACCTGTATTTGGAGTTAGGGGACACAAGAATTGCTAAGAGATGATTTGCTGAGATAAGCACTACACGTTCTGGCATATTAAGAGTTGCAGTCACTACTGCATTACAGTGCAATACAAAGTTCAGAATAGAAAAAAACTGGTTTAAACCACTCTATCAGGGGAAACTGCTCTTCTCAAAACCTTTGTAAGGGGAAAAAAGTGTACAAAATCTGAGCTTTTCTGGATCTCTCTACAAAGCTTTTTATAAAACTATTATGAATGAGTAAAGTATGTATCCTACAAAGATCATCTAAGATAAAAAGAAGCACATAGATTTTTTTAAAGGACACATCAAAATTGTGTAAGCTACAATTTGCACCTTAGGAACTACTTTGAAATAATAAAAATAAACCACCATATTTTTGTTAAATGTTTATGTCAAAATTGTACTATGGGAAAATGCAGTCAAGTACTAGTATTATTAGTATGCATGCTGTTGCATTGTAAATATCTTCTAGGAGCTGTTCAAATGCAGTGTTTGCATTAAGAATTGTTACCTTGTTGCTCTTGGAGCTATTGCTTGCTTCCCTTCCACCTTTCAAACCAAAGTACAGACATTTCACAGGTGAATGATAAACATACATTTCTTTGAGGAAGTATTGGTATTAGCATGATCTAGAGAGGAGCACAACTTCTGTCATTCACTCAGAAGTAGTTCTGGCACCATTAAAATCAAACATAAAGCTCCTACTGATTTAAAAGAAGACAGAATTTTGTGCGTTTGTTTCATTGCATTAGAAGACAAAATTGGAGAGAACATGCAAAAAAGCTAAGACTCTTCCTTGGCAATAAATTCCTGGCTCTTACATGATGCTTTTTCTCCATAAAGGTCAAAGAACTTTGCATAAAGGACAGCATCATTATCTTAACTTCCAAGGTGGTGAAACTGAGGCACAAAGAGAGGAAGCAACTGCACACAGGTTACCCAGCAGGCTAGTGGCAGAGTCAGGGACAAAAGCAGATGTCCTCAGTTTCAGTCAGTGCTCATTGTGTGTTTGGTCAGACTGCTTCTTCACATTTTTAAAACACATAAAGAAACCTTGTATGGCTTTGACAGCTAAGTGTGTCTTTTTCTTGTCAGTCTGTCAATAGATTGAACAGTATTCCCAGATCAGGAATGCAAAACATTTTAAAGCACTACATTTAGTAAAACTTTTATACATGTTTATACATCTACGTTGTTTGTAAGCAAATGGCTGATGTTACTCATCTTCACAGAACTGCATTTCACTAATGAAACTGGAAAAATCAAAAGAATGATGACACTTAAGGAGTAATATACGGGTCACATACTGAGGTCAGCAGTGCAGAGGTCTCCCACTGACACACACCGATGCCGAAGGTCATCATGCATGGCACATGCCTAAGCAGCCAACATGGAATAATGATAGAAACTCAAAGAAAAAAGACCATGTAAAGTCAAAGATCCTTCTAACATTATTATTTTAACTGGACGAATTGTTTACATGGTAAAGAATCTTGCAGAATTAGAATACAGGGGATCTGAATTAGACTCTAAAGGTTAAAACTGCAAGGATAGTACAGGCTGAAATTTTGCCCTGGACTTTTTTTGAATGTGCCTCATAGCAAGAAAAGAGTAATTGTATGGCAGAGGTGGAAATAAATCAAGTAGCTGCCAGTTTTTATGTTTGAGGACTATTTCCTTTAATTCCCAGCTGATTCCTCACCTGTTACATAATAAGCCATGAATTATTTCGTGGACTTGCATGTATCAAAGCAAGGCCAGTACAGAAGCAATATTACTCATGGTCCACAGACTCAAAACAGAACATACTTTATACCCTTACATTGTCAGCCTGGTTTATACTACTATATTTTACATATCTTACATAATTGTGAGCTGGTTTAAAACATTTGTTTTGCTATTACTTGTACAATTTTATTTTTTTTAATTACAGGGAAAAATGTAAGGTAAATAAAGAAAATATACAGCTTTATTACATTTTGTGTTTTATTTGAGAATGTGATATCACTATAATAAACTCTTCAAAATATACAGAAGAAACACAAAATATTTAAAACACTTAAGACTTACAGTCAATTTTAGCACCCAGAAAACATAGTTTAGACAAAATTACTCTTTACATTGCATGACTTTTATAAGTATATATGAAATATTAAGATACATAGTTATCATGAAAATGTGTTGTTGCAATTTCATTAGCAAATACTTTATTCAAAAACTCGGGATATGAAGTCATTTGTGCCTACAAGTTTCTATATTTATGGTGATGTTCTGAACATACAAAATAAAGTTTTAAATGGAAATACAAGTTTGGAAGAAGCCTTGTTGGTGCCTGCATTGTGTGAGTTTCATAAGCATGTAAACTGTGTATTTTTTAGAATTCTCTAAATCAAAATAGATTCTTACATGTTACATTCTTGCATTCCACTCTACTTTTCTCTGGGGAGACCTCACCTGGAGTACTGTGTCTGGCTCTGAAGTCCTCGGCACAAGACATGGACCTGTTGGAGTAGGTCCGGAGGAGGCCACAACAATGATTGGAGGGAAGGAACATCTCTCCTGTCAAGGAAGGGTGAGAGAGTTGGGGTTGTTCAGAGAAACTGTGGATGTCCCATCCCTGTAAACATTCAAAGTCAGGCTGAACAGAGCACTAAGCAACCTGATCTAGTTGATGTTCCTGCTCACTGCAGGGGGATTGGACTAGATGACCTTTAAAGTTCCCTCCCAGCCCAGACCGTTCTATGATTCTAAGTCAGGCAGTGACCTAAAGTCTTCAGCTAGATGAATCAGACTCCTGAGAGAACGTGAGTTGTATTGTCTTATCTGACATTTACCTTTCTTTTATTATACTGTGGCAAACACCTACATTTTTAAAGCATTCTACCTTCATAAAACACAGATTATCAGTGGGTGTTTCTTTTGGCCATCAAAAAGCAAGATGGTTCTAGAAGCTAGTCTATATTTTATTATTTACTTGAAAGTAATGGTAGATAAAACTTGGTGCTTGTGCAAGACTGAAACTATATAAATCCTGATGCTCCTCTTAATTTCTAACAAATTCTTGATGTTTTTGCAAAATTTCCTACTACTGCATATTAGATTACCTCTTGTTGCAAAAAATGTCAAAGATAGTACTTCTAACATTTTTTTGCAATTCAGAAGATGTGGTAACAGTTGTTCAGTTAAATAATCATTTCTGTATGTGAGCATATATTTCTGTATGTGAGCATAATTCACAGTCAACAGAGGGAGGGCTCAACAAACGAATATGAATACTTAGGCACATTGGTAGGCATTTGAACTAGTGATGAAATATTGAGCATTGAATGCAAATTTTGTATCACTGTGAAGTAATTGGATATGTCAGTTCTTTAGTAAAAATCACCCTAGAACTCCTGTTTTGCTATATATTTTGCCAATTAACGGGGCTTGGCAGAAAAGACACCAATCAGAAGATCAAGCATATTTTACTGATTGTCTTAAAACAATACAAAAAGGAAATAATTCAGTGAGCAATTAGAATAAGTGAAGCATATTGCTAAGCAACAACACAAAATTAGGCAATGCATCTAATCATTGCTATACAGAGTTGGCAATAGTGATTAAGAAAGATACATCACTAATTGCCCTATTTATCATCATCCAGACCCGCAGTTTCTGGAGTGCCTCGGACCAGCAAGGGTTTGGAGAACCTCTCCCCAGCAATTGGGAAGTCCTGCATAGTGCGTCCACCCACACATGAGGCTGTCAAAGAAGCAGACAATAGTAGTAGACAATATGAACATTAAAAATAGGTTGTAATAAAAGAAATAGTCTTAAATTCTGCCCTCCCTTTTTGCTGCCAGGGCTGTATTTGTCCAGGATTGCTCTTCTGTTTCTTTTCAAATTCAAATCTGAATTTAAGATTGGCCTCATTCTGAAAGTTTGAATTGTTCCACGGTCTTTTGCTTACCTAGTGGGCAGAGCTGAATGCCAGTTTACAAAAGCTACCAATTAATCCCACTATGGTAGAGAACCATTTTAATTGATTAAT